GTACCTGGGGCTCTCCCTGTCCAGCATCGGCAGGATGAGCCCCTTGAGCTGCCTCAGGCTCTCATTGATGCACTTCTCCAGCAGCAGGTCCAGGCTGACACCAGGGAGACCCATGTGGAGCAGAGATTGAGACCCCAAGGAGGTCCCCTGAGTACGCTGCCTGAGCCGGTACCAGTGAGCAAGAAAGAGGCTTCTTGAACGGCTAGATGAGGAGCTTGGCAAATCCTCTCCCCAAAAAGCAATTACGAAAGTGGACAAAAATGTCAAAACAACCAGTTAAAGACTTGAAATTGACCAGAGTCATACAACAAATTGAGAAGTGCTTATTCAAGAAAGTCTACTGAATCTCAGCAAGAATGGTGAGAATCTGTTTTGTTTTAACCTGGAGCTTTTCCTCTCCCTCCCCCTCCTCCAGCTCTGAGACACAGACGTTACACCAGAAATGAGCAGACCAAAGGACAAGCATCTCTTCTGCAGGAGAGGCCTGACTTTGTTTAGAGCAAAGTAAGGAATTCCATGCTAAGGGCATTATCAAAGACAGCGATTTGAGTGGCTAACATTCAGGAAAGGCCAAGAGCACAGCTAGCTGATCTCTCAATACTGATTGGGGCAAGCAATAAACCAACATGTCAGCCATAAATTCAATGAGACCCAGGGAGTGAAACAGACAAGAAAGGCTGTGATGAGTTGCTACTTATCACCAGAGGTCTTGAAGACTGTGCACACACGACTAAAGGACACAAAGAGATATTCCAACAAAGAGGATGTTAGGGATAGTGGGAAGAGGGCGAGTCCACAGTGACTAGAAAGGGTAGCAGATAATCACAGTGAAAGAATATTTCTGTATTGTGGTAGAGCAGTGGTTCTCAACCTTCTGGCCCTTTAAATACAGTTCCTCATGTTGGGACCCAACCATAAAATTATTTTCATTGCTACTTCATAACTGTAATGTTGCTACTGTTATGAATCGTAATGTAAATATTTGATATGCAGGATGGTCTTAGGCGACCCCTGTGAAAGGGTTGTTTGACCGCCAAAGGGGTCGCGACCCACAGGTTGAGAACCGCTGTGATAGAGGATACTTGAATCTACACATGTGATAAATAGCAGAGAACTATATACATACATTGCACTGATGTCAGTTTCCTTTGACATCATACTAAGTAACATAAGATTTAACCATTGTAGCAAACTTGGTGAAAGGTATACTGAAAACCTTCTGTGCGATTTTTTAAAATTCTAGCGAATATGCAATTGTTTTTAAATTTTTATTTTTTAATATATTTTTACTAGGGGCCCAGTGCACGAATTTGTGCACCTTGAAAGGAACTGTGGGCTGTGAGGCTGCGGTGGGCACAGGGGTGGGTCTCGGCCCATCCTCCGTGCCCTCCCACCACAGCCCTCCCCCATCCCCTGTCTGCCGGCAGCCCCACTCCCACCACCACTCCCACACAGCACGGAGCAATTGGGGCTGGCGCCAGCAGCGGGTGCAAGTGGTGGCTGCTGCCCTGATTATCCCTCAGGAGCAGGGGAAGGTGGAGAAGACGGTGCCGAGCAATCGGGACCAGCGCGGCCACCGGCAGTGGGTGTGAGTGGTGACTCTGGTGCCAACTGCAGATGCGAGCAGCGCTGCCCCCAGAAGTGGGTGCAAGCGGTGACTCCAGTACTGGCAGCAGGTGCAAGCAGGGCCATCACTGGCAGCAGGTACAAGAGGCAGCTGCCGGCCTGATCACGCCCCTCAGAAGCAGGGGGAGGTGGAGAAGCCCTAGGGGCAATCGGGGCTGGCAGCCACCACTCACACCTGCTAACAGCGCTGAGCGATCGGGGCCAGCGCTGGTGTGAGTGCCTGGCGGGACTGTGGCACACAGGAGCATAGAATTTTCAGTAACCACCAGAGGCTCGCCCCAATGACAGCAAACGGCGTCCCACCTTGGTCTGGTACCTCTGCTCACCTGATCCACCATCCCGCCACGGCCAATGCCCATCATGTTCCGTGCTCTGCCGCCTGCTGCTACCACCCACCATGCTCTGCATGCGTCCCCTGGTGGTTAGTGCACATCAGAGCGACCGCTTGTTTGGTTGTTCCACCATTCAATCTATTTGCGTATTAGGGTTTTATATAGAGAGATTATTGATAGTATTACAGATATCTCCCAACCCCCCCTTTGCCCCCTCTCCCAAC